GTAGACATAAACAGGAGTTTGGTTATTTGGGAATTCAGGTTACCCATTTTCTCTCACTCAACAGAAGTGAACAATCGACAAAGAGAATATTCTACAGTACGACTCATATTAATTAGACTTTTTGCAAATTGAAATATCTTCTTGACAAAAGCTCATACGAAATGGACTCTTTGAAAATTGAAACGGCAACGTTTTAGACCCTTCTCTGTAGCTGTAGTGTATAAAATTATATGAACAATTGAAATGCATATCGTCTTATAAACGTGTCGATATCACTTGAAAGTTGATACTATTTTGCAAGCTTTCTGAAAAGGGGGGATTTAGCACCCTGTTGTGTTCAAAACATTTAAAAAAAAAAGAACTAACAAAGTTATAAGCGAGGAAATTGCAGAAATTTTTGATAACTTTAAATATGTTACAATATCCGCAATTTTCAGAGAACGCTAAAAACATTTCCTTATCAAGCCACATTCCATCTTACATAAGATTGATTGTTGGACTCGAGGACAATGTTCTTAAAGGCATGCATTCATGTAATTATTCGCTTTAACAAATGAATTCTGTTTCAAACTACCGTATCACTTTTCAATATCAAAATTCGACGTCTGGCTAAAATTATGTTCATTTGTTTTGGTATTTCGTGAGACAGTGTAACGCTTGAGGCCACTATGCAACTGTGGTTGTCAAAAACACCAAAGCTAATTCCACAGTCCTTATGGTGTTTTGGATGTAATCCATCTTGACACTTGATGCCACTATACCCCTGAGAGTGACAACGTGCCGTCTCTTTCTGAGAAGAAAGCTTTTGGTAATATATTTAGCAGTAGATCACTTGAGGCCACTTTAAGATTGTGTTTGTCAACTTTGTGTTTCTTTTATAGTTCACAAAACTAAGATGCCATTTGGTATAAGCAGTAGACCATCTCTTACTTTGGTATTTCTTTAGCAGCAGAACACCTGATACCACTCTACGACAGGGTGTCTCGGGCGTCCAAGGATTGCCTTAACATGTAGAAATATTGCTATTTAATCGTTATTGAGGAAACGCCTACCCATAAATGTCTATACCACACCAAATGAACCTTCCATAATAATCAGATGTTTGTAATTGGCCCATCCCAATGTAATTTTCGGATTTAATTATGTTACTAAAAATAGATCTTATCGTTATTGATCAATTACCGTTCAAGATGCTGTTCCGCGTAGGAATTTCCGGTTAGGTTTGAAAAGAGGCTTTTTCGCCTCTTAATTTCTGGTTTGATTTCGAAAGCGGATCTATTTTCGCGTATTAACTTCCGGGTGGGTTTCGAAATGAAATGATTGGAATTTTTTCGTCCTACGTTTCTGCACCTGGTTGGGTTCAGAAAGATGGCGGTTTGTTCCTCTTAGGTTTAGTTTAGTGATGCCGCCCATAAAGGTTTTGTTTTTTATCTTAAGGAATATCTATTATCGAACATTGAATAGCACGAGTCCATTCTGAAATCGGGGTTTTCAACTTGATATCTATTTCAGTCAGTGTTTATCTCTTCAAAAAATTCAAAATCGAAAGTGTTCGGGATTTCGTATAGGTGTTCATCGAAATTCATCGAAAATTTGAACACTTACTCACACCTTTAGTGTACTTCATGCCCCACAAAAGGACGATATAATTATACCCCTTAGAGCGATCGTGAAAATTTAAACATTCGAATACCAACAGGGGCTATACTTCATAAGCTATAAAATGTTTAGGAATTCGAATTGATAATCCTGAACTATTACGTACACATTTAAAACTAAATTCCGAGCGACAAAGGGTTAAAATAGAGAGGTCAGCTTCTTATGACTCTTAACAACGTGAGATCTTTCAATAAGACGCTTGATTAACCCTTTAAGTGATGCAAGTATGTCGCCTGAATAATGGGGGCCCGTTTTGTTTAGGATTCTTCGAGTTTAATGGCGTCACTGAACTCGACGCCTGCTGCGAGAGTCAATTGAGAGTTGTCGGACTTGAAAGGCTGCGTTCAAATTGTCGGTCGGGAGCCTTGCTCGAGAACATGATCTCCCTCTTTTCATAGGAGTATTTTATAACCAATTGTAGGCTTTAGAATGGAGAACTTAATTGTTCGGGACAATAGAATCGAATACATTTCACCAAATTATTAAGACACTTGAGGCTTCAAAAATGTTGACTTAATATAAATCTTTATGATGGCCAAAGAATGACAGAAATTTTCTTTAAAAGTAGGGATAAAAACAGAGTTGAAATTTAAAATCGGACTTCAAAAGCTATAAATAGTTATAACAAATTTTGGAAACAATGATTACTCCCTTTAGATGTCTGTGGTTCCTGCAATTCCACAAAAAATTATGTGTTTGATGACGTCACTAATCGCAAAAGCCCTATGTGATACAAGCATATTTTGCAATTAGTGACGTCATCAAGCAATTAGTTTTAGTGGAATTGCAGTAATCACAGACGTCTGATTGAAAATTAGAATGGTGCAAATCGTTGCTATCAGTGTCCTTGATACACATACAAAATTTAGAAAACCTCTTTACAATCTCTTTAAAATCAGATTTGCTGTTATGAAGCCTGTGATAATATCGATATAGGTACGTAAACTGCATGTGATATGAAAGCAAACAAGAGTTTTTTACTGTTAATCGAGATTTAAAGTCACGAACTCGTCAAGATCAAAACATAATGGACGAGAATGAATTAGCAAATTCACTCACAAAGAGAGATCGAAGGCCAAACCATTAAATTTGCATGTTTCGCAATATTACAAGGTCTTTCTCTGAACCTGCATGTTATTCGTGTGTTTTTGTTTTCGAAAGCGGACTTCCGTGTGCAAATTGGATTCGGGGGAAAAAATAAAATCTTTTTCATTCTTTTTATCAATAAAATTGCATATTTAAAGCATAAAAAAGCAAACTCTTTGAAACAGGTGTTTAATTTGGAGAAGGCAAAGTAAGAAAATAGTTTATAAAACTGCATTTTTAACAATGCACGCACGGAAATATAAAATTTATATTTTGTGTTTTTCCTGTCATTGTTAAGCAGAAAAATAGGGCGTAAAACTCCGTTGTATATCTCTAAACCTGCTATAATAACATGGGCCATTAAATGCAAGTTTTTTTGATTATCTGTCGTCCAAAAATTGGTCGATAGAAAGCGAAGCGTAAAACATTTCACTGTCTTTCTTAAAAACTTCAATGCACGTACGAATAGTTGAAATTTTCTTTTTTTTTATGAAAAATAATTCTGTTACACAAGAATTATTACATTAACAGCATTACGTTTATTGTTTACTTCCCATTTAAATTAGCATTATGAGGTTTCAAAAATTGTTAAAAAAAACCCCAAAAAACAGTCCAAACCGTGAAGCAGATGAGGACGTAATGCTCCATTTCTATCTTTGTAAAACTGCCATACAAACATAGAAATTTTTATCTTGTTTAAAAAAAAAGAAAAAAAGAAATTCTTTATGATTTTTGCCGGGTCAATTTTTGCATTTTTCATTTTTTTATCGCACAAACTACGACTTGGCATCGAGTTTACAAGTTGGTAACGTGATACGAACGCGTTGACAAATGCTTTACTTAATTATGAAAAAAACCATAATCGTAAGTTACACCGATTACAACTGTCAAATAACGGCGATAAAAATAATAAAAACAACTGGAGGGGTTAATACACAGATTTTTCAGGTGAAATGGGGGTTGTAACGGGTCAGAGAGGGTTAAGATTGTTTACGGTTAAGGTCAGAAACAGTATTATTCGGGGGGTTAATTCAGATTGTATTGTATCCCGAATTATCATTGCTTTGCTAATAACTTAAACCAACTATCAAAATATGATAACCCTTGAACGTCTAGTATTAAAGGATGACTACCGTGTAATTTTATTAATCGAACATCATCGAAAAACCATCTACTTAAAGGGCACTGTCCAGGGATTTCAAAGTAGTAAAAGCTTGCGAAATTGTTCGTAGATGAACGAAAAATGTGTGAAAATTCGAACTTTGTTTTGTATTATTTTTTTGTTATTTGATTTTTAATTTGTTTTGATTTGATTTGATTTGATTTGATTTGATTTGGTTTGTTTTGGTTTGATTTGATTTGTTTTGGTTTGTTTTGTGGATGAGAAATTCTTGTTTTTGTTTTGATTGATTTGATTTGATTTTGTGTCTTTGTGTCTTTTGTTTGTTTTCATTTGTTTTGATTTTGATTTGTTTTCATTTCATTACATTTAGAAAAAAATGACCCATTGCTAAAGAATATCAAACCAACTCGAAGTAAAAAAAATTATTAGGTCATAGGATTTCAGGCAACTTTACCTTCAATCAAAATTTACTCACAAAAGTCAGATATTGGATTTCTTTTTAAGAGCTCGCCTTAAATCTGATATAATTTTAAACGAGGAATTAGCATAGGGTAGCTAAAGCCGGGGAGAAAACTGACTAACTCTCACTTAAGAGATCTGATTTCAAGGGATTAAACGGAGGGCCATTAGGGGTCGGGTCAGATTTTCATGTGTTATAATCCTAATCCCCTTTTGTAACTTTTAGGTTTATCTTGTTTGTTTTTATGAGTTTTTAGTTTTTAGTTTTTAGTTTTTGGTTTTGGGTTTTGTTTTTGAAATTTGAATATGGAACAAAATTTACTTGGATTTTTCATTGGCTACAAATGCCTTGCTTGTATAGAATAGTTGAGATAGTTGTTCTCACTGCATAGGTTATGGCATATATATGTGTTATTTACCAGAGTGTTATGTAATGCATGGACATAGATGTATAATATTTGACTATGCTAAGATAAAGTAGTAATCATTAGTTCTTACTGTATAAATATATGTAGATATGCATAGCATAGGTTCAGGCATGAATTTCAATTGAGCATAGGCCCATGCATTCGAGAGGAAATACTATGTAAATTCTCATGCCTAAAGCCTATGCATTCTAGAAAAATCACCAAGTAAAGATCTAGCTAGAATAAAGTAAAAAAGTTGTTCTTACCGCAATTGCGTTCATCCGACCAGTCCGTACAATCGCCGTATCCGTCGCACACATTATTGGATGGTATACATTCTTGCGACCCATGGCAGGAAAATTCACCCGAACTGCACACTGGAATAAGAAGCAAAATTTATGAATCCGTATGTTCAGTGCATATGTATGCAATGGCTTATAGTTGTATAATCGTCTAGATAAATGTAATGACGTCATAGTATCTGGTATATGTCGTCACTTCCGTCGCTTAAGCTTATTCAAACGAGTATTATCTTAGATGACGTCATAATACCGTTAATATATATGTATGACAGAAATGGGATTATGCCATAACGGAAACTAGGATTGTCGACTGTTGTCACTTCCGCTTGTACGATTATGATCAATTGTAGACGAACTGAAAGTCAGAATTCCATTCTTAACATTGATATACTAGTTCATATTAAGTTCTTACAGTTATATAAATTTATAAAATGACGACGTCACCTTAAAAAGGCTAAGGCAATTGTTAATTCGGCCATATACCTTTAAAATTTGAGGCAAATTATTAGTTGACTACATCCCTTTGGAGTAAAATTTTGTTCTTCATTTTTTGCAAATTCTGAAGAAGGTGTAATTTGTCTCCTCGGCAAAAAACAACAAAAAAACTCAAGTGCCTCTCAAAAAAAGTATATCACGTCCAAATAGCCCCGCCAGCTCCATAAACAAGTTGGACACGGTCCACTGACTGGTCAAGTGTCCAGCCGGGCAGCCATCCGTTCACCGGTAGATTATTTACTGGGTGTCACTTTATCTGATCATTAGTGAGTTGTCATTAGTCCAAATCACCGACAGAATATTTGATGTTGCAAGGGTGTCGAGAGCATGAGGCATCAAGCCCTTGATCAAGTACAATATCGGCGAGTCTGGCACTTGTAGCACTTGATCAAACAATCATACATAATCTACTCATAATCTACGTTATAGACATAATATGGAAGTTACCATGGTAGTCAACTTATAACGAAGCGTGAATTTCCGGAACACCCAAAGCCACTCTCCGATTGGTTGTGTCAACTAGACACCCCTTTCAGATAGAGCTCACCCATCTTCATTAGCCCACATGGTGCAGAAAAGTAGGACGTAAAACTCCATTCATTTCATTCCAGATAGAGCTTTGAATCTTTGTGGGCCGTCCATGTTATCTAGCTGTGTGGGGGCCATGTTTCGCTCCAACAGAAGTTGGTGTTTCGGATGTTGGTGTCGAATGTCCCAAAATGATTATGAAAGCTCCAGGTTTGGAATGTGGTCACTTTGCTCTGTCAGATTCAAGGTCGTAAACAAGCAAGAATGCTATTTAGTGCGAGTAGGGCGA